CCAGGGTTCCTAGCTAGTTGATTTGACATTTTGGCGTCAAATCAATTGTGTCACGGCAGCCTACGTCTCATTTTGATCATTTCAATTGCCTGGTCCGAAAAAAGTACGACAATCAGCGAATTAGCTTCATTCCTTTCGAATTTTGAGGATCGCCGTCAGATCACGTCACTTATTTAACGGTTTTGGTCACTGAAAGGCGATATATCATTCAGTGATCCTCAGTATGGCGCTACCTAAGCCTATCTGCAATTTTGAGGCGGTGTGGTAGCCCTCAATTTTTCAGGGAGACGCGTTCTCCAGGAGGATAAACTTGTCATTTGGAGGGAATATCAAATTTGTCAAATAGGTCACCTCATTCCGGAGCCCACAAAATCCCATTCCGCCACTTGGCTACTTGGCGGAAGAAAAAGTGCATACTGGTCCTTTTCAAGGTTTATACGCCCTCAAAACTTGAAAAGGAGGGAGGTGCAACGCCCGTCAATTTTTCTTGTTTAAGGCCTTCAGGCAAGTAGTAAGGGACATAGTCTGACGTGACGTTATTGATTTGACGCTAAAATTGTGTGTCGAGTCAACTAGCTAGGAATTCCACACGAGGCGCACGCGATGCTGCGCGTCAAATTCACTGAACAGAACCTTCGCATTTATACATGCCATATAATTCGTAATATTGTGAAGCCGGTTTCCGGATATTGACCGGTTTTTCTCGTTCTTTTTCATTTTCTTTGAAAACCCACGTGTAGGTTGCTCGCTTGTGCTTTATGATTGCCATTGCGGTGTTGAGTATAGTTGTGTACTAGAATTCTATTATTTACTATTAATTCTCGTTAGCGTAAACATTTATGAAGACGATTCACAGTGATTAGTTTCATGAAAAGTTCCAAAGTGCTTTTTTCCTTCATTCTCTTAAGCAACCACGCTTTTGTATAGTTAATTTAATTGTGTTAAAATGTTTAAATATGCTGTTTATATATGCTTTAAGCAATCAGCGATGATCACCACCGCACCGCGAAGTACGATGATTTGTTCACTATCTCTACTAGGCATTTCAATAGATAACAGTTCGATAGAATTTCTTCTTCGTTGGATTTATCATCGTAATCATCTCTGTTGATGAATAATGAATACTGAATGATTTCTCACTGTGACCGCGTTCAGACTTCGCGATCGATTGCATCGCGCGACTCGATCACGACCGGAGACACTGCCGAGCGATGCGCCGCCGGAACAACAGAATTCAAACTGGGTCGCGTTCGCGTAGTGCCAACTTGAATGTGCCGTTGTGGCGGTGCATCATTCGGTGGTGAAGCGCCTTCCACCGTGATCGCGCGATCCAACCGCGCGAGCGATTCCTTCGCGAAGTCTGAACGCGATCTGTCTCATATAATTATTCGTCAGTCATTTCGGTGTTCAGTTTTCACCAAAGAATCTACTTAGCCCGTATTTCTTTTTGGCATTTCTTGTTTTCTCCTGATTCTTTTTTTTCCTCGGTTGTTTCTTCGTTTTCATTTTCTCATTTCCTCAACGGTATTATATCGTGGATTTTGCTGTCATTTAGGGTAGTGTAGCCGTAATAGCACCAAAGCTCAATGTCCGCGGAATAGGTAGTATATTTTTACACACGTAACATTTGTAAAGACTCAGAATTCTAGGAATGAATGTGTGATGGAGAGATTATAACATTAGGTAGTACTCTATTTCTCTATATCTCTCTTTCTCTCTATTTGTTCATAATGCCATGCAACCTAAACTTTCATTTCATGGTTTCTCCCTTTTATCTCGTTGTTTTCTCCCGGCTGGGTCTGTTGAAATGTCGCTAGGTTGCTCTTAGCCGGTATATGTTTGTTTGGCTCAAAATGAAGATTCTATGCAGATGCTATTGTCGATCAAAAAAGGCTTTGTTGCCACGTTGTCTGCTTGTCTTACGCAATCTGCCACGAAGGACTCCCAGTCACGCCCACTTTTGGACATGCTACGCCCATTCTGTGTTTCCCACTAGATAACAGTTTGTCTGCTATATAAAAAAAACGCAAAACATTGCGTATGTTATACAAACACACCTTATGTTCTGTGCTTGTTTGGTTTTGGCCACACCAAGTTTTCGCTCCAGGGTTCGAGCGCAAACTTCTGTGGAAGAGCCTTCATTTGGTTAGCGGCTCCCAATTTTTCAAACAAGTAGCTTTCTAGAGAAATCGCTCTCGGGAAAAAAGCTCTAAAATATTAAAGTGCTCTTCTTTCAGTATTCGCTGCCATATGGAGTTGTTTATGATTCAAGTTGGTATTGATCAGACATTACTCTGGACTACGCCATGTTGATCATTCAAACCCTAATATCGACTTCTGAGAAAATACCAAAAAATTTTTTTGCCTTTCTGTGGTTCGAGGGGCTAGATTCCTTTTTAGCTGAAATTCAGTTCTGTTCTCATCGCAGTTGGCCTGAAAGAGGCGAATCACTAAATTGAAAGGATACAGGCGTAAAGGTTGAAATCTGCGTAGGCAGTGCCCATAGGGATCGGTAGGAAATTTCGATTCATATTATCAGAGTGAGAGCTGAGCATTGCTCCAGTTCCATTTTTTTACACTGAGATATGTCGCTAGTCAGTGTTGCTCCTTATTGTAATCTCGGCAGATGTTGAATGTTCAACTACTACCAAACGAGGTTCTTAGATGAAACCTGTTTGGCCTGACGTTTCGACCTCCTCGTCTTCTTGAAATCCCACAAAGTTCCAATTTGTTGCCTAACCGACCAAACGCACTCATTCTTCTGCCATGACCACATCTGAACAACTCGGTAGTAACTGCAAACAACTTACCGAAGGAACCGCGTGCAGCCTAGCTTACGCTTTGTGCCAGTAGGATTAGTAAAAACGAATGAGTCTCGCTTGAGTGTATCTTCCCGTCGCATGAGTCGGATTTGTCGTAGCGTACGTCCCCCTGTACTGTATCCGGCTCCTGAAACAAATCGGCGGAATCATTTGTAAATAAAATTGCGCAGACACTCGTTCTGAACGTTTTTTCCAATAAACTACAGAGATGAACAGGCCCGATATGCCTGTCATTAAGTATGAATTCCTGCCATTTCTATCAGGCTACAGTAGTGGCTATTGCGCTTCGCATTTGATTCTGACTTGCTTACGACTCAGTAGTTGAAACTTGCGAGCCACCTTCAGGCTCTCTGTAAGAAGAGCGCAGTGAAGGTTCGAAAAGTTAGTGCCAGATGAAGGATATTCATCTAGAAACGTCGTTGGGCAGGCGAGCATCCATCCATGTTCAGAATTTTAGTGTTGCGGAAGGTAGTCGACCTACAAGCCGGTGATATAAAATCGGTGTCAGATTTGTTTTAAAGTCCCAAATAAATCTGATATCGAATCCCCGTCCCCGGAGGGTATAAGGCTTAGCTAGCCCTAACGGAAGTCGATCCAGGTTTGAGCCCTGGACCGCACGTTGCCGGTAACCACTAAGCAAACGAACGTCTTTGTGGGAAGATGGCTGCACCTTATAGCGTAGAGTGATCGCTGAGACTATGTTCATATCATAATACGTTGAAATATTCATAAAAGAATCCGCGAAAAGGAATGCATAGGTGTCGGTTGAGAAAAACGCAAAAGCGGATAAGAAGAATTTTAGAACTTGTGAATCAGCGGAAAGAACTAGGAGTGGTCGCCTGGTTCCGCACACTGGGCATTTGGGGAGTATTGAAGTGCAGGAATCAATAAGAAGGGAAGGATGGGAACTGATTCGTCTTAGCGAAAAATTAGAAAAATCGTTCGTTTCAGTTTTTTCGCAAATTCTTTGATTCTTCGTTTCTCCAACTCGGCGCTAGATATGACATTCACCGAGCTTTTCGGAAGGATCTGACCGTGTCTATCCCAGCTTTAGCTCCACTTTTGAACACTGCTTACTTCAAGATAGACATTTTCGAGACTATTGAGAGACCACAAACCACTAGCATGAAGTCGGAGTGCTACCAAAGAGGCCGCGATTTGTGGCGCGGGGGCAAAAGCGGCTAGCGCCAATCACGGGCATCGCACAGAACACGCTCAGGAAGACGCGAAATTCTTACCGAAGGCCGAGTTCAGTTACAGAGTTGGAATATGTCGCGTGCGAGGTATTTTCTGAGCTTCGCCGCAACTTGGATTTCCTGACTCACGCTCTACAACTCAGGTTTTTGACTCCTTCAGCGAATCCTAAGGACTTACAAAAAAGGGAAGCTGGACATGCGAATTTGATCTCTGCTCACTGTGTATATATATACTCGAAATCCTGGATGTAGGTGTGCGTACATAGAACAAATGACAAGTTGTGAAGTCAAAACTGAAATCACTCTAACAGAGAGCATTCTGTGCAGTTCAGATGCCACGACTTGGGAATAAAGAACATATGTATAGATCTTTTTTTTCAGTGCGCCAAGCAACATCCCCTTGCGCAAAGAGCACAGACAGCGGTTTGGACAGTTGTGTACTCAGTTAGTCTGGGAGGCAATCTGTTACAAGGAGCACTGCCCCTCCGCGCTCAGATCAAGCACCAGACACGACTGCTTCTGAACTTGAAACTATGGCAAAAATGCGAGGAGAATCGTTGTAAACACAATTTAGGATGTTTTGTTGAGTAGTGGAGTGCGATTTGCCGCAATGAAGATTGTGGTTTGCTGTTAAAAGGCTATTTTCGTTCGAGACCTGTGAGCGGTATGTCTTAAGTATTTCCAGGTTCTAGTGATCACATCACGTTGACCGTAGATATTAAAGTCAAACAGCGGTTGGAAGTTCGGTCTGGGCGAGTAATTTGACCTCAAACTCGAATTTTGGATTCAAACAGTTATCTATGGACGGAATGCAATTTGATGACCCAATCTCAATTTTGGTTTGAAACCTTTTGCCTATTTCTTCCTCCATTCTGTGCTAAGGGCTGATTCCACTTGATAATGTCGTATTTTTTTCCATCATTACTGTTCCAAGTGATTATAATGTTCTTGGAAAATTTGCAGAAGATGGCGACGTTACGGTATGGCGCCGGTTATTAATCGAAAATCCGCCGAAAATCTTGAAATGATGGGTCTACAGAAACCACCAACGGGCTACGAATTCGAAGTGGATCGAGACCGACGGAGCTTTATTTACAAGTTCGTTTTAATTTACATTTCTAAAAGCATTCACCTTATCGTTACTTCGTGCACAGTTTAACCGGTTAAAGACGAGCGTTGTTTCCATGTTATTGTTTGGATGGGATCGCTTTGATGAAGTTTTTCTTTGTTGAAATCTGGTAGCCTGATGCACCAGGTCGCATAAAACACGTTGAGTAGTACGAAACCCAGCGCTGTGCGGATGGGTGGTTTGCCCTTTTGTTAGAGTCTCTTGTTCCTTTGAATTCTTATAGTCTCTTGTTCCTGTTGAATTCTAAGTCTCATCTTGGCGAGACCTCTGCACTCTTGTCAAGGTAAACGAATCTCCTCTTACAGGGGAGGGGCATTTTGCACACGCTGTTTCACGTTCCCGTTTACGAATCTCGCACTGGTGAAACAGAACAAGCTCGTTGAGCCATCCATGGTAAAACCCGTCAGCTCTTGTAAGCTCACGAAATGGCTCTGAATGGGTCGACACGTCGATGGGAAGTAGCAAAAGTGCAAGATGCCCCCCCCCCCCTCGCTGTCGAACTGCGTTATAGTCACAGTTTCATGGCCCATTAATTGGCCTATTGACAGTCACTATGATATTCAGGGTAGAGCTCGTGCAGTCGAAATCCCATCAAGAAGCCCGTTTGGTACACTACAGGAATGGCATTGTCATAGAAGCCTCCACGAAAGAAAAGGCTATCTCGGATCAACTTTACAGGTGAGCTGCAGTTTTCTAAATCAATTTGTTGAACCTTTCATGGTCATTTTTCTTTTACCTTTTTATTTTTATTTATAATTTCTACTTTTGTGCTGTGATGTCACAGAACAGAATGGTTCCAAACAATGTTTACAGCAATACCGATACATGTGCGTCAATGAATCTTGGCCGTATCTTGGCAGCGCGATGCCTACAAGCTGGAGTACACTTTGCAGTGCCGGGTGCCAGTGAGGAACAAATTGAAATTAGTAAGCATGTAAGTTTCTCTTACGTTGGGCTAATATTGAGAGTGTTTTTTTTCAATATTTGAACGTTTACTCGCTTTCTTATCATTTGTCAGAAGTCCAAAGGCTCCGCATGTTTGGCGGAATGCGTATCCATGACGACTCGCACTTTTCTTTTTTCTCTACGCCTTTCATTTCAAATCTTAGCAGCTGCGCACTAACATGGTCCAGTTAAACGGACATCTAGAAAGGTATCTCCTAGTTAGAAGCGAAAGCACATTGGATTGTAGTATTCATTCCACGTTCAGCTGTGTCACACAATCCCTTCCTTGAGAACAGAGGCTGGTCTGCAATCGCAGTGGTTATGCTTATTCTGCGTCTGTAAGCTGGAAAAAAGGCGTCAGTCGCTGACCAAATTGGAATGCGTACCGTTAGCGAATGCTCTGATGTTCGCCTAATTCCTCTGCTCGCTCCATTATGCCGTCATGTCTAGTCTCTCAGAGCTCTTAGTGTATGTTCATTTTGCGCACCAACCGCAGAATCGAGTGCAAGAAAGAGAAATATTTAAAGGCAGCGCCCGCGTTCATTTGTTGTTTCCACGCCCTCTTTGGATATCGTAGCTCACCCTATGAGGATGGTGGACGTACTAGTTTCGCAACTCAAAAATGCGAGAGAATAGCGGCGCCCGCTCGTGAAGAGTCGGCCACCCGCCCACCTGGCGACCAATAGTTGCCAGAGCCCAGTTGAGTGGCGCCCGCTAGTTTAAGAGTCGGCGCACCACCCCCGCGCAAGCCCAGCTGACGTCCCGACTACGCCCAAGACTTCATTCTCCTAATGGCTTGCCCTGACTGGCTGCGGTTAGATCTGCTACTAACTCTCTTCGCCAGCCTGGCGAGGCGGCTGTTTTGGCGCGATTTCCGATTTGACAACTAGGTCGTTTTTGACAGGCGGTCCCCTATGGGTGAGTCCCTACCAAGTGCCGGCGATAACTTGTGATGATACTTAGACATGAGCATTTGTGATGTTGTAGCTGCCAAAACGGCGTCAGTCGGGGGACAGTGCCGGCATGGGTTCTCAGCCAGCTTTCTTCTTAATGATTGTACTGTAGCGGCGACACAAAAACTGTACCCTAAAGATCCCATTTAGATTGAAGAGCGGTGTATAATGTTTACCGGTGAAATACCGAATAATAAATTAGTATATAAAGTGTTACCCCGTCCACACACCCCTCACTTTTTTATTCATTGCCCCGTTTCAGTGACTCCACACTCACGAGGCCGCTGCCAAGCTCTCATCATATCACGTCACCTCTCGACGGCGTCTTAGCTTAAGCTGCTGTATACGATATTTACTCGACGTTTCATAGCTAAGGGTGATACAGGATCCCGAAAGGGACGGAGCTGTAGAAAGACAGTAAGGCCAGTAGAACCCCGGTAGCAGGTGTGTAGGCTCATTATTGCGATTAATCGATTGGAGCATACCCCGCCCAAAAACAACACGTCACTACAACAAACGTCAATTTTTCATCTTTCTAGCACACGCGCTCTTATCTTATGGACCGCTCTTCTATCCGTTATGGGGATTTTAGGGTAGCATTAGAACTCGATGCGCGATTTGTCTCATCAGGGACACTTTCACCTGACATGTTTTGACGGGGAGGTGATGAGGAAACATCGGCGGCCCAAACGACAGTGCACCCCTGCTTCCACTGTAATGCGTGGAGTGACGGTGATGAAGGGGAAACAAAGCTTGGATACAACATATGTGGAGAACTATGTGCGCGCGGTCTCTCTTCGCCTTAAAGCACTGCTAGCAACCTCATCTCGGGCGTGATTAAGGGCGATTATGCGATGATTCTGTTTTTGGTTTTCTTCACTAATGAACTACTTGCTACCGCTTGTGTCATTGTGCTGAAGCCCCATAACTCAATCAATAATTGAACGCGGGCGCTGCCTTCAAGGAATTTCTAACGGCGTATCTATCTTCATTATTCTTGTGCCTGTACCGAGCGTCGGCTCCTGCCTCGCCGGCGGGTGTTAGTGGAACATTCTGTAAAAATGGCCTAACGCGTTTCGACTTAATCGTTCGTCTTCAGAGGGCTGAACTCGTGGCTTTCAAGCACTGAAAATTATGTAACCTACCCCGACCAGTCACGCTCATCAAGTTCTAGCGCGGTTCACGACGTTTCGTGTAGCGAACCCCTCGAGAAGACAGCCAATATCCTGCCAAGGACACAGTGGTTCCCGTTTAAGCGGATAGGTCCGCTCGCCATACTAGGGCGCCTCGTGCAGGTAGAAAAATGAATACGACGGTTGTCTCCGGGTATAATGACACTATCATATCAAGGAGACGCACGTCACGCTCTGTCATTCTACAGTCCGCAGTGGGGTATAAACGGTAGCAGGTCATTTGTGATGGCAGGACACTCATCTCGGTTGTTGGACGTAACCATCTTTTACATGGGCAGGTGTACTACTTATTCTCAATGAAGAGGGCCGCGCCACTGGCGTCAGTCCGCGCGCCCTCGCGCGTCTGCTCTAGTTCTCGCTAGTCTGCTTTCATGCAGCAGGGGATTAGAGACGGTGCTGGGAGCGCGTTGCCCTCTTATATACTGTAGATTAATAGATGACTGTTTCATTCGTAACGATCAACACAGTCTCCGAAACTGGGATGAGCTGTTTTCTCGACTCTCGCCATGAACGACAGTCACAGGTACCATTAAGTGAACACGAGACCCCGCAAAACGTAGGCTGCCATTTCTCAACACGCACGCTTCAAGCGTATCACATCGGGATCACTCGTAGTTTAAATGGTATTTCGGTAAGAACATGCTCGAAAACATGTCGATTCACGCTACATCCAGCACACGCGTCGGATCTGCTGTCCTGAAACGCGCTGTTGCTCGATACCATGTTCCCGAAACGGCCCAACGCGCGCAATGCTGCAACAGGAAGGATGTTGGACGAGTAAGAATCACGAGAAGCTTGCCGACAAAATAGCCAGTTCATGAATGGCATACGGGCACCACCATCAATTGCGGGAAGGCGGCGCATATAGTCCGACAGGCCGCACTGTCGACCGCGTCGAAACAAGATATCTTTGTGTATCCCTTTTTATTTCTGAGGGCTAATATGATGAAAGATCCACTGTCAGGGCATGTAACTCCACATATATTGCGGAAAGACAGGAGGTCGTTGGGCTGTTCGCATGCAAGGAACATGCTTGCTCAGCATTAAGATTGCGGGCCGGTTGCACTCTGTACAAACTATCTCTGGCGGAATCATAAGGTTGGTGTCATCGCATGGGATCGCACATCGAGATCAAGAGTGCCGGGTGGCGCGAAGGTGCGACGGAACTCCAGCCAGGCAAAGGCGTTGGAAGCATGTCTGGATATTCACTGAGGATACCCAGAATGATCCAACGTAAGATGAGTTGCTGCTGCCATCACAACATGACCGTGTCTGCCGATTCATTACCCCACTGCGGACTGCAGAATGACAGGCGCTCGTGCGTGGCGTCTCTGTTGAATATGTCGCATTATACGGATGACAACGGCCGGGTATTCTCATTTTTTCTAGCTGACGCTTAGCGCTCTAAGTGTGGGGCTGCGAGCGGACTATCCGCTATAACGCTGGAACCACTGGTGTCCTGCTCTTGCAGGTATTGGCGTCTTCTCGCAGGGGTCCTGGACACGGACGTCGGTAAGGTGCGTAGAGTTGACGAGGTGCTTGGACGGGCTAGGTGTGATATCTAATGCCTCTGCATAACACCAATTTCAGGCCTGAAGACGGACATTAAGTCGAAACGTTAAGCCATTTTTATAAATGCTTTCATCCTAACAACCTCATAAGCGCACAAAAATATTGAAAGGAGCTCACTGACTCACATGCGAGGTTGGAAGAAGAGAGAAGCGGGGAGCAATTCTAATGCCTGTATTCGTTCGTCCGCTTTTCGTCACGTGCGGACGCACTTTACCCGCGTTAGTTGCTCTTTGAGACTCTATTATTGTCATGACTCCTTTTAGTCATTCACAGGTATCACACCCGCTGGTTTCTACCGCATCCTCAAATAACAGAGGTGGTGAAAGACAGCGAGCTTTACGAGGAAATTATGAAGTTCTGTAAGACTGTCCCCAAAAATAGACAAAAAAAGGCAGTCAGAGAATTCCATCTCCAAAGGGCGGTCTAGGCGGGTTGGTAAGCCTCGTGTCTTTACGTAGTTCACCTCACGACAGATCGAATAGGTTTTGAGTGCTTCATCCCTGTTCCTTCAAACATCTGTCGCTCGATTCACTACCGGTATTCGGCGCTATTCAATGTGGGATCAAAGACAAGTTTGACCCTGTCTCGGCGAATTCAGCATAGGATGTTGGTGGGCGTGGTTGTATTAAGTTTGCAGTAATCACTTCTTCTTTCAAAGTTAGCGTCCGCGATCAACCAAGATGAAAAAAAACCCTGTACTGTACAAGATCGCGGAGTCCGCAACCACAGAGGATATCCCACTCCTGGGACTCGAAATCGATTGATAGACGAAGGCGGAGTCAACAATGATAAGCTGACCCCGCCTGTCCTGTTAATCCCGCCTCGATTGGTTTGCCGTTATCAATCCTCGCTGGCATTGATGACCGCTATATTTCTAGCGTTCGTTTCGTACACTGATAGAGAGATTAACTCATAGACAGATCGATTATCAATGCCAGCGAGGATTAATTAGATTAGATAAGATAACCTAGGTAGTGGCCTCATGAGAATTAGCCGCAACGAGGCGGCGACGTGTTTTGGAGAACTCACCCAAAATCTGCGAAACTCGTCCAGATGCCTTAAATCGAATAGGGTCTTATTTCATGTTCTTGCAGCCTTTTTTCCTACTTTTTTGACTTAGTGCTTCACTTGCCATCTGTTCTAACAAATCTGACCCCTGAAACCTGCTAAAGTCGATCGCGGGCGCGTGTCTGGGAAGAGAGCCGTTTTCCCAGGAAGAGCAACTTGTCCGGGACTTCAAATTAAAACATTTCTCGGATGAAGATTAATTTGCAAGACAAACGTTTATGATGTCCGTGGCGTCACTCCCGTAAATGAATACTTATAGCGTTACATAGTGTTGACTACGGCGTTGCGTGCAAATCACCGTAACTACGTAATACTACCATGCGCTTCACCCAGACGATTGCCTTGTTACGATCGTCTGTGCTTGAACACCAGAGCCGCCGTTCGTGGCCTTGTTTATACTCTAGTTCGCTGCGGAAGGTCTTCTAACATTCTTTTCGTTCGGACGGTTGGGCGTGTGAGGCAGTATGAGTGTGTCACGCTGTCAAAGCCGTTCTCCACCTTCTTGTTGAAGCGCGCATGCGACAATCAGTGGTAGAAGACAAGTAATACGAACGACATGACACAATCTTATCACTTGCTCGCTTTAACAACTGGTGGAGAATTCGGTTTGGCACCGCGGCCAAACTCATCCTGCCTGACACGCCCAACCGTGCGCAGCGAACGACACTATAGGTCAGTTAAGGAGACCTTTAGTCTAGTGATTCGGACGAGTTAACCGAGTTGATAGACTGGTATCATCACTTTTGTTGTTTAATCATGCCGATCACCCCATCGGTTCTCTTAGCGCAGAACTGTTTTTCAATGAAACTGGAACTTGGCACGTTCAAATAAACATTGGTCGCTAATAACCTTAGGGGGGGGGCACAACTGTGAGTGCTTGCCATTATACCAAATTCTGTAAACTGTATACGTCTGAATGTGACAACCTTGTCAACATCTTGTAAACTCCTGTCAAACTTATCAAAATAATTGGTCAAGTTTGCAAGAAAATGGAGAAGTGGCGTTTAACGCATTCGCGACCAGACACGTTCTTCGAAAACAGCTCGTTCTGACCGGAGCACTTGCGAGCTCTCAGCAAGTGTCCGCCACCAGTGGTGGACACGGTCCCTCGACCCCTTACTAAAAATTTTAGCACTGTTCAACTTTCTGCTCCCGAAATCTCCTTTTTTACTGAACCATCGAGTGCAGGGGTTATTCCTCAGGTCACAAAAATGACATTCGTCTGTCCTCCGGTGCCATTTGGCGCCAGTGTGCGCTTATTTAGTGGTCTTTCTCGAAAACCCGTGTAAGCTTGCATATTGAGGTGATTTGACATATTGAGGTGGCTCAAAACCTGGGTGGCAAGGAGGTTTTGAGCCGAGCGGAAGTGGTACTCGTGTTCAAAGGTCAAACCAACTCAGGAAACGACTGCTAAGCCAAGTCTGTCCACATAGAAAAAGTTGGTCGAAAGTTGGCTTGGTTCCGGATGTCTGAGGCAGTAAAGGGTTGACAGTGCCTATAGTTTTTTTCACCGGCGCTACTCGGTGATAGGATCCACCTGCACTCGCCGTCGCCTTTTTCGCTAAAGTCGCAGCTGTTCTGCATTCGAGCTCAGTTGGGTGGGAGGAGTGGGGGAAGCCCGATCACAAATAAGACATTGGTTTTTATCTTTGCAAAGCGCTACATGGCATGAGTGCAATGTAGGTTCTGAAAAGGCTGTAGCTTGGAGGAGGAGTTTTTCCCTCCTTCTAAGGCAAGCTCAGCCTCAGCATCGCATTGATAACCCTTGTGCCCTACGCTAACGTTCCTGCTAAAAATGAATGTCATATCAATAATAAGGACAGCGAATAACCCTAGTATCCAAGTTCCCATCAATTTGGGTGGAAGAGGTGATAGCACCAAATTGGCGCCAGTTGGCGCTGGGACCTGTAGTGAACGTCATATTCGTGACCAGACCAACAAAAAGCCCTAGTATGTAACTTTTCCTGAAGTTTGGTGAAAAAGGTACTGGTGAGTTGGCGCCGCACCATTCTGACGCCCTGGTTTCGATTAAAAAAGTGATGGCGGCCGGATTGGCGCATAATGGTGCCAAATGAAGTCAAACACCGCCGGCGTCCAGAAATGGACGTCACATTCGTGATCGCGGCACTGAGTAACCCCTACCGGCAATTTTTCAGCAGAAACTAGAGTTTGGGGCTCCAGGTGGCTGCTCAGTGTTAATCGTGGTCTGGGACCCTTATATCTGAAGATCTCATTGGTCCACTATTTGCATAAATGGAAGGAAAGGTAATCGAAACGCTGGAAGAGTTCTTGAATTATACTCGAACTGTTTCTAAAAATTTCATCAAAAGCCCGTCCGCCACATATGGTGGACATGGTCCGAAGTGGACATTTCGGTGTCCACCACCAGTGGCGGACATTGTCACGAATGGGTTAAGCGACGCTAGCAGTACCGTACTCCCATAATTTGCACGCACTAATAGGATTTCATGGGGTACGCAGGGTGAGACACGACTGAGAAAAGACACAAGCATTCACGGACAAGCGTTTGCACGTGTGGCATTCACCCTATCCTTTTCCCCCAAGGATTTCTTCCATACAACTAATATTACCTACTTTGTATAGTTATCAAGCACGTAATCGATCTTGATGCAGACCCTCAAACATGTCATTTCAGCAAAAGGAGTTCTTCAATTCGCTCAAGGACGAGGGTCTTCAGTTGAGCGAACCAGCCACATTCGACCAGACGTACGAAACGGATCCATCGATGACATGGGAACGATATCCGCTAATGGCAACACGAGAAGATAAATTAGATGAGTTATAGAACTCATCTATTAGGCTAGGTTAGTATTTGTTCATGTTGTTACCTTGTTATCCTCAGAGAGTTCTTCATGAGCGCTTTTCATAAGGAAAATCCCGTTTTGCATGTTTCCCATTTGAAATAGGAAATAAGCCGCATGCTCCATACCCATAAGATTCGATAGGTCTCACATTTGTACAGTACCAAGTTCACAATTGTTGTCATTATTTAAGCATTTATAAACAATATAAAAAGTAAACAAAACGAAACTGTATCGTTTAACAAGCACTTCCCGAAGCATCAACAATTCATGCAAAATGTTCGAAATATTTATATATACAAACAATCGTAGAAAACATCGATAAACACTTAGTAATGCAGTAGGGCTGCGATCAATATGAGCAATAAAACGGCTCGTGCTAAGGTTCAGAGAGCTCATCGTGGTTGCGGCTATGGCCCGATGAAATCACAGTGAGTAGCGATTATCCACGCGGCTTTGCCACTTATGTCGCGTTCATACTTCGCGACTGAAGCGATTCGGTCGTGCGATAGAACGCGGACTGCACCGAAGGACTGCATCTGCTGGTTCAATGACGTTTCTGATACCTTTACGTTGGAAATCTTTGAGGGGGAAAAATAAATTCTATCTCAGTCGTGCTTAATTTAGCAGTTGCAGCAGTTCAACGATTAGCGAAGAAGCGCGTTGAGCGATTCAGTCGCACAATGTCCAAGTCGCGAAGTATGAACCCAGCATTACCACGACGTACACTCTAAAAGCGGATGCTTCGCTACTGTTTTGGTTTCTTCCCAACACAAGAAGAAAATATCAAGAAAAATAAAACCTAGCAATGTACCGAATCATAAAAATGCAACCAGTAACTTTTCTACGACATGACGTTCGTAGTACCATCCAGGGAATGTTACTCGTGTAAAAGTTAAAAGTTAGTCAACGTGAGGACCTTTCTTGACTTGATGACTACCATTTCAACTTTACTGAAGTCACATCTTGAGGTTGCATTGCAAATTCTGTGATTTCTTTCCCTTCGTACAGTAGAGTAAGTGATGTTTCTTTCACAGAACGTATGGATGGCAATAGCATCTTCGGTGAGATCTGAAATTCAAGTATTTTAGATGTTCGGGTTAACGATAAGGTTAGTGTCTACGCTGTCCCTTCTTGAAACATCAGCATGATATGAATTTATTCTGCCAAATAAGATTGTTGGATGGTTTTCATTGGGTCACACGTTCCGACCTTCGCCTTCTTTGGAGGCTAAATATCCCTCAACTGTGCGCACCGTTAACTCTAGGTCAGTACAGTTATTAAAGACACATGGTACGACCACACATACTTAGGGTGTGCGTGACTGTCAGCCCCCCCCCCAGCTGTCTAAGCGTAGCGGTTCCCCCGTCCAACATGCGCAGGAATGGATATTTAGGAGCATGGAACACGCTAATTCCTCCCTCCGCCTAAAATGGAACTTCCGGCGCAGACTCCCGATCCCGTTTATACTAACAGCCGTCCGCGCAGCGCGTGTCGCGCACAGTGCTCTTGGCACTTTGCCAAGTCGTGTAATTGGACTTTGGAATACAATTAAATTACAAATTCCTGATGCGGGTAACATTTGAGGTCAGCGTACAGCATGGGGATGTGCGAAATGGCGGTGTGAGTACGACCCCCCCCTCGAAGAGGGTCCAGATACGACCCCCCCCCTCCTGCTCTAACTGACAACCAGATGCATGTTCACCACAAATGGCTTCCTGAAATGGAATCTGGATTTTCGAAAGGCGGACTGCAACTTTGCCTTAGGATTCAAAATAAAACCCGTCGTTCGACAACCATGTATGACATGCAACTTGTAACAAGGAACACAATCGAAACAGCGACTAATGGTGATCATTGATAAGCTAAATTGGTGAAAAAATAGCCCCAAGGTCAGTGTGTCAGGCCCCAGATGTGCATTCAATGAATGGTGACGGGGAAATCATGAAAACATGCACGACACAACAAAGCGAAACATGAAAAATACAAAAAAAATGCGGAGCCAAATGAAAAAAGGATAACCAGGCGGCAGTATATCGTTCTATACTTGGCTATTATCGATCGCAACCGGTTGCGACCGCTTTCATAGGAAAAACGTCATTGGAGCGCGGTTGTTGGTCCTGCCAAGGTCCTGGGGTCTTTTCAGGGGTTACTTCTCTTTAAGGGGCGCGGCTTTTTGATGAATGGTTAGCAGCATGCAACGGGAATGTTCCTACTGTTGCGTTTTCTACCCAGTTGCAATCTGAATGTTTCCCCGTTCGTGAAATATTTCGGATGGGTTTCGGATCGGCTAGGGGTAAATGGCAAGCGGGTTTTTATGCTTCACACGAGGATTACTTATTTCGAACGCAATTTCATCAGGATTAAAATCGTCCTGAAACCCCTCCATCTTTTCTCTTTCCAATAAGCTTTACAGTTTTCTGAAGACCCGCTAGTTCAGGAGATATTTTAGATGGGTCACAGACGCGCTACCCTCTGACCCACCGAAAAAATCGACTCCTTCTGTGCCATTGTGAGGATACACCTTCGGAAACTTCAGTGTGCCTTCAAAACACATATTTCCCTTCAAATGAGTGAAAGAGGAGCTCGGCTATCACTGATCGATTTGGTCCGAGTGTGCGCCGTGCATTACGCTCCTACGCAGAGGTGGTGGAAAGGTGTAAATTCTGATTTCAGGTGCTTTTATCCATGCAAGCAGATGTTTGTTTAGGGTTTGGAAAGGACAATACGCACGAATCTGTTTGAGACGTATTATTTAGTCATCTACGTACTTACGAGTTCATGCTATTAATTGATATTTATTTATTTATTTATTTATTCTTGCTATATTGCTAATCAATTTTTTATCATTTTGTAGTCCTCCTTACATCCGGGTCTTCTGCAGCTTTCCGTCCGTTCCATCAAACTTAGCAATGACACTTTTGTACTGTTTGATGCCTAGCGAGCCTACTTTTGCGATACTCCCCACGTCCCCGCGGCCAAGTACGAACCCATTTTCGGGGATTTCGCATGAAAAGAGGGCTGTTAAACGTAGCAGGTAAATCTGTAAAGAATACACTCATAATAATTTCATTTTTTAAACATCTTGACTTCCATAGCTCCACTCCCACTATCAACTGAAATGTCGAAGCATTGCCGGCTCTGAGTGACCCTTGAGATTACGACCCCCCTCCCCAGCGGCCAAGTACGACCCCCCTATGGGTTTCGCACAACGATGCTGTACCCTGTTTAAGATGTTGCTCATGCTGCATCTCAAACAGGGTACAGCATCGTTGTGCGTACCCTGTTTGAGACAGAACAGAGTCCGAATCGAAGATGATTAAGATGACAAAGGCGAGAAGTGAAGAACAACGAATGTAGATGTAAATAAAATGAAAATTTAAGGGAAATTAGATTAATCATAATCCCGTGTAATTTTTGCAATTCGGCGCGATTCCGGATTCCAAAGCCATAAAAATACTTTAAACTAATGAGTGGGCGCGCTTGGGCCGTTTTTATTTTCACCAGTCGGATCGCACGGCTGACGCCGTGCTCTCCTCCTTCTCTTGAGCTCGGCTTCGCCGAGCTGGCCTGGCTTCGCCAGGCGGCTCATCGGTAGTGTCCGCACTATGGACTCGGTCACCCTCCCCTTCTGACGCCTCTTGACGGATCTCAGCTGCTATCATTCCCTGTCACCCATCAATAATGTTCCTGTCCCACGTCCTATATCATACCTTGGAACCAATGTCCCACTGTTACTGTGTCCCGCACTATGGGCTCGGTCACCCTCCCCTTCTAAGGCCCCTTATCGAATCTTATCAGGTGCTATCACATCACCCACCATAGTGTCCCACCCGTCTTGCCACGTATATCACTTCTTGGAACTGTCGTCCTATCTTTTCTGCGACGCTCGCTATGAATTTCGTGACAGACAGACAGACAGACAGACAGACAGACAGACACACACACACACACACACACTTATCGGATTATATATAGTAGGATGTTTTGTAGGAATGCACGGCCTCCGAGGGAGATTGCAGAAGCAGCACAATTGCTCTTGAATTCTGGCCCTCGTCATCATCTTCGATTCGGATTTTGCAGCATGAGCAACACCTCAAATGTTATCCGCATCAGGAGTTTGCGTTTTACTTGTATTCCAAAGCGCAATTACACGACTTGGCAAAGTGCCAAGAGCGACACGCGCCGCGCGGACGGCTGTTAGTATAAACGGGATCGGGAGTCTGCGCCGCAAGTTGCATTTTAGGCGGAGCATGGAGGAATTAGCGTGTCCCACGGTCCTGGATCTCCATTCCTGCGCATGTTAGGACGGGGAAACCGCTACGCTTCGACAGCTGGGGGCTGATAGTCACGCACACCCAAACTATGTGTGATCGTACCATGTGTCTTTAAGTCTTCAAGTGGCCTAACAGTATTTATTTATTTATTTTTATTTATTAATGCCGCGGACGATCGATGCTCTTCGACCATTGTAGAGGACGAGATGGTCGAAATTGCCGCCAGATAAGCAATTAGGCAGTGTTCTGTTTTCGCGATGACGCGCGTTAACGCCCCGAGCAGTCTGAGTGCTGTGGACGGGAACGCAGCCAGACGGGTATCGATAGGAGCCGGCTGCTACTGCCTTGAGTGTGGGGTTGCCCATCACATAGTCTGGTCTCTTCCTACCCTTTTGTACTGTTCCAAAACACTGACGGCCACGGCCGATCGATACGCCTCTATGACTGCGTTCCCGTTCATTGCATTGGAGCGGAGTTGCATCGGTAGCGCGTTAACGCGTTTTATGGCGCGTTGCAGCACGTCATCGCCAAATCTGGACGCTGCTTACCCCAACAACCGCGTCTGGCACAAGTAAGCGCACATAATAAAATGTCGTGAATCTTTTGTTGTAAACAAGATAAAAATACGTGACTCTTCGCCTGCTTTTCCTTACCGGATTTCCCTTTTGGTTGCAGTTGGAATTCAACTTCAGTTTTGATCTGCAGTCAATCATTGATCGATGTAAAATGAACGCAGCCTCGTTTTTGGGTGACGACATTCCATTACCATTGTAATTGGTAGGTCCAGCGAGGGTCCTGGCACGAAACTCGTTATCTTACAATGATATCCATATTGAAAAGTTAGTCTTGCAGCGAATTACTGCGCTAATCCACAGCACAATGAAGTAGCAAGCATGAACTAACCTGAGGCTGACAACATGGACATCACATGGAAGGCTTGATGCTATCCCAGACGCTGTATCAGCACTCGGTTTCACTATAAATACGCTTCTATCTGGGGGCTAACATTATTTGTGACTAAGGCAGCGTTCATACTTCGCGACAGCAGTGGCGATCACCGCGATCGTCGGTACGCGTCAGAGCGCGCCCCAACGCTATTACTTGGACCGCTCGCTTTGATAAATAAGGGAATCCAACTTGTAATACCTTTTTTCTCTTAATAATGGCTACTAGCTGGAAAGCTGAGGACTTTCTCGTACCCAAAGAGGATGCTGGAATACAAAGGGGGAGATGGGCTTCACCATTTATTTAGGCCGGGATAAGTGCAACTTCATTTAATAGATGGTTTTCTCTTTGTTTCTTTTGTTTTCATTGTTTCAATTTATATACGATCTTGAAAACTTTCGTGACTGGGGTCTACGGACAGCTAAAACTCAATCCCTTTAATGGCGCCAACTTTCTTCTTTTCTCTGCGCTCTCTTGCCTGGATGGCGATTTATGGCCACTTTGACCTTTCACATTCCAACTTTTCACGCATACTAAGTGGCTCATCCACCCTGATATCCCTTTCCCTCGAAAAAACTCATCTCCTGGCTCGCATCGTGTTTTTGTACCTCACGATGCCTTGGCAGTGGCAGTCCCTTATTGCTCTGCGCTCTGGCCTATCGTGGCAGGACCCCCACCAAAAGTTTTAGTTGTCACGTAACCCAGGAAAATCACGGCTATGAAATCAAAAACTATTGGTTTTATGCAACATCGAGGAGGACGGAGACCCTTATAAGTTCATGTAACATCTGCGAAGAATGAAAAAAGAAAACAAACAATAAGAAATTCACCCTAAATGAAGCCCCCTTGCTTTTTACTCATTTCTATCCAGAATCAGAAGAGAAAATAGAAAAGAAAAGCCATTAAGTTCCATCCACCTTTCCTCGAGACAAAACGATCTTTAGTCCCTGAGACAAGATTATAAGTTCAGGTTGTCAGGCCACCTACAGTACCCCCGAAAATTGCGCGTGAAGTTAAAAATGTTGCGTCGTGAACAGAAAAAAAAGCAGGAGTTGAGCCAATTCCTCCTTCAAGCACTCGGAGCGGTCCAAGTAATAGCGTTGGGGCGCGCTCTGACGCGTACCGACGATCGCGGCAATCGCCACTGCTGTCGCGAAGTATGAACGCTGCCTAATATTCGCTACAAGCACACACCACGATCACTAGCGGAGTAGGAACCTTTCCGTCTACGAGGTGGGTCCACAGCGTGCAACACCACTTTAGTCGCTTGAATGTGTGAGGCCAGGAAACGTTGTGATCATGGACGTTGTGGATGCCCGACTAGAGAGTCGTATGTGGTCACAGGGAGGATTATCCTATCCGATTCTGTGAAGGATGCTTTCAGGTGTTGACTTTTGCTCAGTGCTCCAACCGCTCGATGATAGTTTTTTTGGTAAGGTTGTGAAAAGTTCTTTTGGGAAATAGCCTCATTAAAGTGGTAGGGAATTGGGAACATTCAGGATCATGGCAGGTAGGATGGAGAATAAGGGAGTGGGTCATACACGGGAGCGAATTTTCAGGAAGTTCCTGTTCTGCAGAACATGTGATGTTGTGATGGTGTGATGCCTGCAGCCAGCATCCAATGCGCATACGACC